TGGTGGTTAAGGGCGCTGGACTCCCACATGACCGACCGCGGTTTGAGTCCTGGACGTGGTGACTTGCTTTCTCACTTTCCCTCTCTCTCTTTCACTCGCTCGCTCTGTCCTTCTCTGGTCAAATAAAAATAAAAATAAATAAATAAATAAATAAAGTTAAATAAAGTAATTCTTTAAAAAAAGAAAAAGAGGACAAGACAGCAGGGACGTATGTCCACAGAGGAAAGGCCACGTGAAGACAGAAGGTGGCCCTCTACAGGGCAGGAACAGAGGCCTCCCCTGAGGCCGAACCTGCTGACACCTTGACCTTGGACCCTGTGAGAAAATAAATGTCTCTGGAGCCACCCAGTCCAGGACGGTGTTCTGTGATGGCAGTCCCGGGAAACTGTTACAGGCGCCAAGTGAGACCAGGAGGAGACTGTCCATCGCGTCCCGCCAACCCACGCACTTGTGAGGAAGGAGACATCGCTGCGTCCAGCCCGCCGTGTCGTGGGGTGGTTTGTGACGCCATGGTGGGTGACCAGAACATACCTCTGCATCATCACCTCTGCTTTATAAAGGAGGGGACCGAGACTTGCCCAAGGCCACACAGCTGCCAGGCAGAAGAGCTGGGCACTCCAGGGTGCACATTTTAACCCTCGACCTCTACGGACCAGGAGACGGAAATCAGACCAGGCTTTAGCATGGGGACAGGGAAGTCAGCGCTGGGACCTCTGTGTCTAGTCTCCTGTGCAACCCAGGGAACCTGAGGCCACAACTGGCCAGGGTACCCGAGTTCTGTGGCCTTAGGCGAGTTCCTTATGCTGTCTGAGCTCCATAGACCTGCCTGCAGAACTCTGCGGCGAGGGATGCGGGAAACACCGCAGCGGGTGCACAGATGGTGCGCGGCAGCTAGTTAGTCAAAGCTGGGGCCCTGCAGACTCTGGCTGGGGGAGAGCGTGTGAAGAGGAGGTCAGCAGAGAGCCCCCCAAGCCCACTTCTAACCCTGCCCTTACACACCTGCGTCCCTGGCCCAGGGTGGGCGATGGGCTGGCAAGATTTCCTCCAGGCCCCGCTGGACAGCTTGTTCTTCAGGGAGCTCAGGTACCTCCTGCTGACCGTCCTGGGTTCAGCCCCTGGGGTCTCCCCCATGCTGGGCCCTGGGGGCTGAGGAGTCCTGCATCCAAGGAGGTGCTGCCTGTCTTCTGGGCGGGGGCCTGTGGGCACTGCTCCCGGGGTTCTGAGAACAGAGCAGAGGTTTGTTTTTCTTTCCTGGAACAGGGAGAACAGCAGCAATCCCTGGGTGGGGGGACTCGGGGTGGTAGGGAAGTCACTGGTGGGCAGTAGCCCCTGAGAGCCTGGCACCCTGTGGGGACTACTGAGTGAGACTCCACTTCCCTCCTGGCACCACTCATGGCGGGACTCCAGTCGTCAAAATGAGTCAGCACTGACTGCGTCTTATTCTCTGGAGAACGACCTACTTCCCCGTTTACAACGCAGCCCCGTTAGGAACCCCTGCATGTAGACGTCCTTAAGCCCCAACCCCCACCTAGAGCACATCACCTTGGGACCTCCCCTCCGTTTTTAGTTTCTGCATCAGTAACTGAAACATCAAGGGGAGAGGGGAGCCATGGATGATCTAAAGTGGGGTAGGGGCCAGGTGCAGTGTAGGGGTAAGACACGGTGCCCTGTGAGACCGAACGACACCAGAAGTTCCAGGTTCGTGTCCAATGAACTCCTCATGTATGAGCAAACGTGTACCCGTGATCCGGGGCTGGCGGAAGACGAGGACAGACATTGATGTCCAGGCCCTGTTGGGGCTCCTCCCTCTCTCTCTGTCCCTCTCTCATGGAGGAAATGAGAAATGAATAAAAGTTTTTAAAAAATAAAGTGGGGCTGGCAGGTGGCATGGTGGTGAAGGACACTGGACTCCCACGTGGCCAGTCAAGGTTCGAGTCCCTGACCTGGCAGCTTGCTTCCTCACTTTCTCTCTCTTCTCTTTCTCACTCTGTCCTTCTCTGGTCAAATTAAAAAAATAAAAATAAAGTCAAATAAAATAATTCTTTAAAAATAAAATGAAGTGATGGCAGAGCCACTGAAGTTGGGGCTTCCCAGTGGGCCCTCCACACCCTCAGCAGAGAAGAAGCCAGCCAAGGCCAGATTCCCCCCGCCCCAGGGACTGGCCTCATAGGGCCGCTGTTTCTCTAGGTACAGGGTCTGCGGCCCACTCACATTCGTTCTTTCTTTCTTTTTTTTTTTTTAACTTTTTTTTTTTTTCAGAGAGGTGTGTTTTTGTTTTTGTTTTGGTTTTGTTTGGGTTGGGCTTTTTTGTGCGTGTTTTTTTATGTGATTCTTTTTTGAGGGGGAGAGGTTTTTGCTATAGGGCATGTGCGCTCGCCAGACAGAGAGAGACAGAGAGACAGAAAGCAAGAAATCACCCCCATGGGGGATGGCCACGCCGCAATCCCTTCTCCTCCATTCTCCTCTTGGGATCTTGAGCATGCACGCACACA